TGATTGGACGAGCTCCGCTGTACACTCTGATCTCTCTACGTATGTCTTAGATACATACAGAAGTTCTCTTATAATGAATCTTGGTCTAGAAGGACTTGTGGATATTGTCGATAGAAGCATCTCGATAGAAGGAAGACCCAGCCTATTAGTTACCGCAAACCGCTCGTCAAACATGCCTCCGCATACGTAATGCGTGATGATAATGTTGTACCCGTTGTACCGCATCTCGTAATAATGTACAATATATCGGATAATATATTTCTCCCTTCTTTTGTCCACTGAACAATTTATATTCAATGAAAATGTTGAAGACTCACTCTAACTCAAGATCGTATCGAAATGCGATTCAATAGGAAAGCTTTTTAAGTTTTTATTTTAATGTAATTGAATATCCCATACATTAAATGTTTTATTTCAATATTAATATTATTTGTATATTTTTATTAAAAATTTTATTTGTCTAACAATATTGAACAATTATGAGATGCAAAAAATTATTGGATGTACGAATAGTAAATATTAACATAAATTTGATAACACGCGGTTAATTTTATGAGTTTGATATTGGTTATTTTTATTTATTATAGCTTTAGGAATGTTGAGATGTAATTTAGGATAAAATATATATATATAGTCATTATAATTATTTATAATATTATCTAACCTAATAAATATTCAATAAATTAAAACGTTCTATATGATAAAAATGATGATTTGCCTTTTGCTAAATAGTTGGTTTAATTATTTTTTCTATGTTCCATATTGCGCTTTTTCTTATTGAATTTCACATATCTATTCAATGAGCCATACCGCGATACCATGTATGCATCTACATTTCTGATACCGATCGCTCTGTCCTCGTTGCAACAGCCTACGCATTCGGATAAAGGCGACAGAAACGATGGACAACATGGTTAAAGTTTATTTTTGCAAGATTAACTGGCTTCGTGAACCAGTGCATCGCAGTCAGTATACTTCATCATTATTTCTACGTGATTGCAATTGCATGTTAGTAGATTGCGATACACAATAAATGTTCTTGTAATAAATTTTATTGTAACTATATAACATACAAATTTTTTGAAATGTCTGGCCAATTAACCTTCACGAATTAAAAATGATTATGTGTATAGTAGACGTCATTTTAATTCTGTTATACACAAATCATTTTATTCCATAAATAAGATGCAATTTATTCAAGATATAAATTATTTAATATTTAAACGAAATATTTCTTTTTTTCTATATTTTTATTCAAAGATTATAATTTGAATTTAGAAGAAAAAAAATGGAAACTTGATATATAAATTGAAAATGTAATATCTCTCTTTATAGAAAAAGAGAAGTAAATCAAAAGTAATAAAAAAAAATAGATGCTTGAAAACTATATTTGACATGAGACACTGTCGCATTTTCTGATCCATGAATAGCTAAATTAAATTGATACAAGATTACATTTTCGAAAAAGTAATCTACTTTCAACCAATACGCTTTTTATGTTTATAAAATTTATCAATTAATTATTTGTTTTACTTACAATACTTATTATGACAAATAAAATTTAATTTGTAAGAATTATATCAGTATCGTAAGTAATTATATAGAAAATTAATTGCGTGTTGTCAAATTCACACGATACCAGTGTAACGGACTATTCGTACATCTTGATGGCTTCATGTCTCAAGATAATTGACCACGGAAAATAATTTGGATGTTCCGTGTAAATTATGTGCGGACGTATGCGATTTCACGTAGTATGACATTTTGGTACTCTTGCGGACGCCCTATTCTCGCCGAATTCTTGGCAGCGATGTGGTCAGAGAGTATCTTCGGGATCCTCACACATCTCGATGTGATGACTGTGACGAGTCATGTTAAAATGTCAAATGTGTACTGTGCGCATATACTACCATGATTTATAAGTCCGCTGCGCATGCAATTGCATAAAATGTATAAGTTGTTTTCCGTCAATTTTAGAATCAAGATAATATTGTCTATCTTAGTTTTTTAAATTACATTGGAAAAAATCGAATAATTACGTGTACAACAAAAGGGGGGTATTTCCGTACTATAAGACATAAGATATTTTTTCTATAAAAATAGTAGAAGTACGACAAAAAAAATTGCACCTAGTCATGTTTTCTATTGATAGAATATTTATAAAGTTACTTAATATTACGTTGCAAACTTAATATTTAAATAAAATCACAAAAACATTTTATTTTAAGAGAATATTTTTTAGAATCTATGCAATTGTGTGTATTTAACATATAGTTGAAAATTTTAGGACATAAAATATTAAAAAATAACTTCTCATTAATGTATATCTTCTATGAAATTTTTCAAATACAACTACTGAAAGAACATCTGTTAACAACGAAGCCTTTGTTGCAAGTTTAATTTACGTATTTTATTAAATCTTATCTCATCGATCTCTTCAAAAAAGCTGAATTTGTCAAATTTTTGTTAATTTTCGCTGAGAATATTATTTGCATATTAATCATGTCAACCAGAAATATGTCAAATAGTTGTGTAGTTGATCAAATTGCCTTATAAATGGTGTGGAATTCAAGCGCCAACACTCGATGTGACTTTCCCAAGTTCTCACGCGCGATAATTAATGGATACAAGTGCTGCGAGGTGTGGAAAGGAAACAACTTAGGGTACATCGCAGTCGGATTAGGGTGTCTCGTGGCAAAGGGCCGGGTGCATCTGCATGCACGGATGCAGCTTGGCTGCGAACTGCGGCGCAAAGCGTCGGTCATTTATCTGCTTCGTTTTATAAGACGTGGAATGTCCCTAGAAGGCATCCGCATTCTCGAAAGCGTCGCATGATCGATGAAACGCGTATGTCAACGTTCAACTTGAGCGCGCGAGCAGTTAAGAAGTTTCTCGTTAGTGAATGTTTCGAGGCATTAACAGTGCTCTGTGATTGAAAGCTTGATATTAAGGAAGTTGCAATGTGCCATATGCATTATATTATATATATTATATATTTTTTCAAAATTAATTCTTTATTAAAAAGATACAAAATGAAAGAAACAGTCATGAAATTTTAACGTATTTTAAAAGAAATTATTTAGTTGCAAATACAATGACTCATTAATCGTAATATTTCAAGTTTCAAATTATTAACTCATGCTTAATTATGTCACAAAAATTGTTAAAAAATGTTACAAGTATAGATATTTAATATTATTGCCCAGAATGCTGAAAAAATAAAAAAGGTATATCTAACGCTGAGATATTAATTAATGTATTAATTCTCAATTAATGATTTTTAAAAAATACTTTTCGAGAAATATTTTCATTCTTTATTGCAATATAGTTTCTTAAATAACGTTCACACACGGTATGTAAAGGAGTCATCTAAACGTAATTTTATAGTTTACGATACTACGCCTGCGGTCTACTTTTCGGAAGAATCTCAGGATTCTCAGGCCGTAATAGAGACGTTCAAAAAGCCAAACTGGTTAAGCCGTATCGACTATGTGATCGTTCGGAGGGCGTGGCGCTGATACACTTGAAGATCGTTTGACACAAAAGCCGATCCGCTTCCTTCGGGCCATATTATTAACATAGCGTACCTACACGTTCGGTCTCACGACCGAAGATCGAACGAGATCAATCGCGGGCACCTTCATTCTCGACGCGCTCTGAACTTCTTTTTATAAATCCGCCGAAGAATCTCTTACTTTCTCTGCCGCCCTTTCCCTACTAGCTCTGTTCGCCCGCGGATTCAGCGATATCAAAGTCATTGCTTTGAAAAAAATAGCAGTCTAAATAATATAAGAAATAAGAATATTTTTATTTGCGCTATTCATCTTTTCGGGGCACGTTTTACTTCGGAATTATCTCACGTAACAGTATCTTTCAGATCTTTCTCTCTTTTTCTTGCCTTTTACAAGATTGTTACCGATACTACCGTAAAGTATACTTAAATTTTATATGAAATATCTTCATACACAGTAAAAAAGAAAATGTTAATTTTAACATTTTTTACATGTCCCAGGAGATCCACTCTAAATTTTAAGTTAAAGTAACTCATTCGTCTTGTGTTATTTATTAACGAACTAGTAATGTTAAATAATTGACACAATACTTTACATTTATATTTGTTATTTTGACTTTAGGGATGATTTAAAACTAACATATAAAATAAGTAGAGTACATAGAAGAGTAGTTGCAGTAACTCGTAAGAAAATGTTAATTAAACATTTTTGTTCGTATAATGTGAATGAAAAAAATTCTTAGATATTAAATTGACTTTGAGATATATAGATTAATTGAAACAATTGTGTTAAAAACACTTAAAATAATATTTCATTTTTAATTGACATACGCAATTGTTAAGTTAGAAAGGTGACATGAATCTAACACATCAAAATGTTACAAAAATAATAACATATCAGTTGTATGTTGATTTTACATTGAAGTAATAATCAAAATGTGGTAATACAAGAAAAATTCTACATATGGACGGACGATTTTTTACTGTGTAAATTCTTTATACTACTATTTTATATTAAATATTTTTTTGTTAAATGTTTTAAACTAGAACCTTTCTATACTAAAATGTGAATATAATTTTTATAACTATTTCTCTTAAAAAATGAACTTTTCTAATTATAAATTATTCTCGCTGAAATCTTATTTTAAGAATATATTATTGCACGTTTTAAGAAGAATCCACAAATATACGAAGTAAAAATATGAATGATATTTAATATTTAATCATAATATTTAATATTTTCGACATAGCTTATGTATAAACGTAAGAGATATAAAATATATTATAAGAAATATTGTCGATTCTTTGAAAAGCATTTAATGAATGGAGTGCACTGTTACGTTAGTTCTCGTGCAACTCCACTACACACTGCCCATTCACGCGCACGTGAACGCGTAAGTCCACGTGATCGTCATGACTCGCCATTCAACTTCGCGCCATCGCCAGACGAGGCGAGATCTTGGACTGGACTGTACGCGATAGCACGTACCTTGCGAGGTTTTAAGGCATGCACCACCTTCGGCCGTAAATATTGTTGCGCCAATAGAAACGTGACGGAAGCGACAGTCAGCAATCCGACGCTCTTCTGGATCCTTCCGAGGCCGCGGTCGGCACGCCACGACGCGTACGCACGCGTGACATCGCGAAAGTGTCGTGCATACGACGGCACACGTCGCGAGAGGCACACTACCGTCGCCATTTTCACTCGTGCTATCGGCGCATGCCTCGTCCACAACTCCACAGCTGTATCTTCCTTGTGAAAAGTCAATCTCTCCTACCTATCACAGTCAGTGTTGTCACTAGAAATTCTTGTGCCTGAGACTTGAAAAGTACTTAAAAAAACTTTGAAAAACTTGAAATTTTCAAAGAATTTCCTTTTTATCTTAAGAAATTAGGAATTTTTTAAAAATTTTATTGGCACTTATTATTAGAGAAATTTTGAAAATTAAAAAATAAAATTTTTGGAGTTTAAATTCTGTTTCTTTCTAGAAACATTGTTTTTTGAACATTATTTCTTGATTATGCAAAGTATTGATAAAGTATAAGGTGGACAATTATTTTCAAATATATAAATAAGAATAATAGAGATTATTTTTAGATTAAAGTGTTTAATGTAAAAGTATAGTTGTATAGGTATATATTCTTAAAATATTTTTTAGAACGGTTCAATTATAGCCGATTATTTATGCATATATTATACAAAAAATAAATTACAATATCGATACGCAATAAACGTAAAAGTAATATTATTGTTTTTACAGAAATTTTTTATTTTAGTACTTGGAAAAGTATTTTTATTGATTTTTTTGAAATTCTCGCCAGAACAGTTACTGTCAGTATAGGAATATGTACTGTACGTAATTATGAATTTTTTCATATTATCCTGACAGTCATATAACCCGACAGAATCTGCTCATCTACTCTTCTTATGGAGTTCTCACACGAGTATTATCGTTAAAATATTAATCGCAATTCACGTATGCATCAGAATTAATGACATTCGAATAAATAGTCACAAATGAAGAAATTCCATATAATGATTTGTCGTAGTAAAAATTTTCTCTTATTAACCCTTTACATTCCGGTTAAGAGCAGTAGCTTAAATAAAAAAATATCTAAGAGTTTAACGGTGTAAAAATCGGTATAATTGAACGAGAACTATATCAAGTCTCAATTTTTTTTTATGTATGGACATTTTTAAACCAATCACTGATTTTGAAAATTAGGAATCTAATTTTTTAAATGAGTTTCAGTTTACTTTTTTTAACGGGCAGTTTTTGTGAAGTGTCACCATTTATCTTGCAACAATATTTCCAATTCTTTTTGAATATTAACGATATTAATTAAAATATATAGAGAATAATCGATGGTGTGACGGCTCCTTTAGATCAGAATCTCTTTTGCAAGACGATCCTTCGGGGCATACCGTAATCACGCATTAATTATGATCACTCTGGATGGCACGTAACCATGTAAAATAAGTCCAAGCAACGTGCAACAACCTTTGCTACGTCATTGCGAAAGGAGCGAGGACCTGAAGATTTGCCCTCTATCCCACTGGTCCCTTTGCCTCGTGTTTTAATCTATTTTTCATGTTTTTAATTAAACGGTTCCTCTATGTTCGCGGCAGATGATCTGGTATTCGTAGCCTTTGCGCAGGGAAGAAATTATCTTCTGCCAATGTAACTCCATATTATCATCCTGTTCAATCATGCGCGGCGCTTTAAATGGCCGCGTTACGCATCTTAGTCTGTGTCTCTCGTTGCTTTGCTAAAGCCGGACAGAATTAGTGAAGTTATAAGTGATGCGAGATTGTCACGCGAAAAATAACTTGGAAGTAATCACTTGAAAGCAACGAAAGTAACAGGACTATTATTTTAGTTTAATTTAAATTACTTGTTCGAAAAATAAGACGTAGAAATCGACACATAAATTTGAATTACAATCAAGTTGTGTGGATACATTGGAATAATTCTTTGCGAATAATTCTACACATCAGCTTATATATATAATTTAATTTATTATTTAACTTATAATTCTACATCTATAAAGAAAGTACGTATTTGGATATTATCTTATTTTTATTGAAACATTGGAATGGTTCTTACTTTTTCGTAGATTTACATAAATATATAAAAGAGTTGCTACTAAAATTTTATTTGTCACAAAAGTTCAATTTTCACAAAATTACGAACACTTAATATGTGCTTCACGAGAATAATTTTAGTAATTCATTAAAGGATTTAAACTGAATAAAGGATTAACAATTATTTGGAATTTCGTCGATTGGCATACATTTCTTGGTTGAAGAAAATCGTGAACTCTTTCTACACTGTGAATGATATTCTTATATTATGATGGTAATATTTGAGAACTGAATAAAGGATTAACTAAGTCGATTTACATAAATCGTATTCGTGTGTTAAATAATTAGGAATAGAACTGAAGAGAACGTTATATAACGAAACGGAGGCTTCTTCACCCACGTCTCGACACCGTGTGACGCAATGCGAAAAGAGTTCGTTTGAGTGGCGCGTGTGCTAAAATTACGCAGGCTAATACACGCACTCGTGTTACAGTCTTAATGCGTATTGGTTGCGACTACATTTTTATGGATGCTACCAATGCTTCTTGATATAAAAGATTCTGAAGAAAGTTTCGTGTATTTTCTCCCTAACATGCTCTAATTTATAATAACATGCAATATTCAACCTTTACAGGATGGGAAAGCCACTATAATGGCGCTGAAAGAATATCATATTTTGAGACAAGAAATAAATGAAATAATGAATTAGAACAAATTTTACTCAAAGAAAAACTGTAAGATTTAAAAAATAGATTCCCGTCCTCTAAAGGTTAGGAGATATATCTATTATATTATGTAAAAATAGAATTTGATATCATAAAATTTTAAGTAAAAAGAAAACGTCTAAATGTTATATGTATCTTTTATATTGTCGCTAAAAAAAGAAAGTACTTTTTGCTATAAGTATATTTAACGCTTATGGCAGAAATGCTCAAAGATTAAGAAAATATTCGGGAAGTGTGGCGAGTTTGCTCGATCAAGTGAATAAAGATCCAGTGACTTCACCGCAGCTGCCGTCGTCGTTGGGTGGGTATAACTGGCAAAGCGTGTGTGCACCGAGGCTGCAACTACCTCGATCGTCCACACGCAGGATAAGAGTGCATCGGAGTGCACAACGAGTTTACCGGAGGCAAGTCCAGCGTTAGATTTCTTGCCGCCGCACACAGGTGCAATCTCGCATTTTCTGAAGAAGACTGTCATAAGCTAAAAAATAAAATATCTTAGAAGCAACATTTAATTCTGAAATATAATAGAGCTTCATCAATTATATTCCTCTATACCTACGTGCATTTTAAAGAAATAGATATACTAAAATAAGCATTAACAATTAGAAATTTATTTAAAAAATTATTTGAAGTTTTACTAGAATAAAATTAATACTTTGTGTGTAATTACAAATCTATGATATATTGAGAGATTTTTGTTTTTGATTTTATAGATATTAGAGAAGTTGAGTATAAAATATAAAAATCACCCCAAGATGTTAGAAATTATCCTCGGAAGTGTTTAAAAATTAGATCCTGGCACTTCTGTAAGGCCTTTAGTATCCACAAGTTTTATCGACGCATTCTTCGCTAATTTGAATAATTATACTCGATATAGTAGCGCAAAAGGCCGCGAACAGAAAATTCGTAATAATAGCAATGATGCTGATAACACTAAGTATAGGAAGGTATCATCGATATTCACCTAATAAACTTTGATAGCGCGAAACGACTTGTAATGCCACTATAAACCTGTCTTTAGGGTTTGATAAGAGAATAAATGCAACTCACGGTCAGGACTGTCCAAGATATTAAAAGGTAGAATCGATTATGATAAATATCTATGATAACGAGCAAAATTGCGTCGATTTTACTGTATGAAACGCTTAATCATAACCTGTTTGACTGAAGATCGAAAAAATTTGTGTGCAGGTGCTAACTTATTTTATAAGTAATTGGTTGATGAAGTTAGCGATTAACCTAGGATCATCTAAATATATTATAACTTATATATTGCACAGTCATTTAAATATTTTATATTTATATTCTAAAATAATTGGTATAAGATAAGAGTCATTCTAACCAGAATAATTATTAAATATAGCCCCATAAAGACACACACACATTGTGTTGAAATATTAATGATAAGTTATTTCACTTTCTATATACTTGTCATCGTTTTCATGATAAGAGAAAATGTGATTTATACACATATATATTTTACAAATTATATTTTTTCTTATAAAAATGATACCAAGTTTTCTATCATGTAATCTTTAATATTTAAATTATTCTCAATATTCAAAAAAATATATTTATTTTTGGCTTTTAACTTGTTTAATCTATTATCTTTTAAAACGTTTTCAATTACGCGATCTCTGTTTCACGAAACTATATCAAATTGTATAGATAGGTAAAAGTAATGAACGCGGCTAAGACAAAAATCTGTACTCGAGCGTGTGGAATCAATTATGATTAGGGGTGGTGCACGTTTTACGATCCGTATTTGTAGTTTCGCCTGTGGGTTGAAACTTAAAAGTTAAGGCGGAAGGCATTTATCGAAGAATGTTAATTATAAATTGAAAAACGCGCGTCACGGGCCGAAGGTCGGGGTTATGGTTATGTTAATAGCGAAGATTATGATTATGGTCATAACCGTAAGTGGCTAAATGCCGTGAGAGAGATTGATAATAGGAGTAGCAGAGGCATGCTTGCACAAATATGCGAATATATATTTTTATAAAATCATAAAAATAATTACTATCTCGCTTTTTATGAACATAGTGAATGTCTAATTATGATATTTATTAGCACAGTATCGACAGATGCACATAATAATATTTTCAATAAAAGTATTAATAATTTTGCAGGAATAAATTTTCGAATATGAAAAAATGCATGCTTTTTTCTTATGTTACTGAATTTGACGTATAAATCAAATTCAATAATTAAGCTTGGAGAACGCAGAGCTGATGGCTTAAGTTTAATCTAAGAAAAACGTGCATATGATATCAACGATAGAATTTAGTTAATATTCTAACAACAGTATACTTTTGCTCGGCTAATACAATTATTACGAGACAATTATTTGAAGGGCACGGAGATTGCGTAAATACAGGGTAGCGGACAATGCATCGTAATCTACGTATACT